TACTACTACTACTACTACTTCACAGGAGATCAGAGACTGAAAAAGCCGAGGTTTCACGCACTTTCCGGACAGCCCGGCGAACTCCGCCTTGAGCCGGCCAGGGTCTTCGACTCCTGGGGTTCGATTGTTTTTTTCGGGGACGGGGGCACCATCAGGGTTTAGGGTTTAGGGTTTAGGGCACCATGAATTGGGGAGCTGTGTAATGCCAGAGCATCGATTGTCCTGGCTGGGCCTGTGAGGGTCGGGTGAGCCGTGACCGCACACACTTGATGACTCTGCAACGCACAGCTGAGGCATTTGCCCAAACAGCGATGGCTAGAAGGACCACAAGCCCGTTGCTGCGTGTAGGTGTTGCGACATGGGGAAAGTGGTCGTGATAATTCCCCGCCCCCCTCCAAATGGCACGAGGGAGGGCCGCATGCCGTACTCATGCAATGCACGTGCAAGTGCCAGGAGTGTTGTGATCCTTGGACGGACACGCATGCGAAGTCAGGTGTGTTGGGAGAGGTAGTGGGGTGATGCAGCATCCAAAACCAAGTTCATTCCGGACAGGATACGTTCCTGCTTCTGTCGAGTTGGAGGCATCTTGGCATTCCGCATCATGGTACTGTCTGGGTGTGATAGTGCTGTGTGGCAAATGGTCCGGCTTGGATAACCCGTTCGTGTCGGGAATGTACATGTAACTTGTCGTGACTGCGTCGTCGACGGCTCTGTGTGATGGCGATGGCTTTGGTGGAGAAAGCTGGCACATGATTCGACTGCGGGCTTGATGATCGATCACACGCTCGCCTACTACTAGTATCTACTAGTACCTAGTTGTGGCTTTCTGTGTGCGTTGACTGTCCTGGCTGAGAAGTTTGTGACATTAGAACGGGAAGTCATAGCTCATCGTTGCTTTTGCTGTGAGCTGCTGTGAGTTGTGATCAACAATGACTTCAGGTTAGCTCCTAAACAATCTGAGAATGCCTTTGAAATCACGAGGCGACAGTAGGATGGTGATTGCACGGCGAATTTTATCGTAGGCCTCACATCCTCAAAGGTTGTTTAACCCTAAACGTATCAGAGCTCCGTGACGGACTGAACTCGGTTTTGGCCCCTCAGGTCCCATGCTGCCGCCTCTCTCAGGCCTTCGAGGCTCTTGATTCGCCTGCAGGCCATCCCGTGCCCTGGGATTCTGGGCTTCTTCTTACCGACACGAGTTGCAAAAAGAGGTACCGCTCAAGGCTTAGGGGAGGGTCCATCCTGAGTCGAAGGTGCCACTGTCTTTCTGAAGGGTGACGTCGAGGGCGCGGAGGCCCTAACGCTGCCATGGTGTTGAACTGAACATAATTGAAGCAATGCTACCGCTGGCGTTGTGATTTGCCACTTAGCAGCTGTAGCATGCCTACGTACAGGGTAGTATCTAACAGATATCCTGTATACAAACAAAAGCAGAGTCTAAGCCATTCGCTGGCAGGAGTGCAGTGCAAACAGAGGTGACTCATGCTCAAGAACTGTGCTTGTCTTGGAAGGGATCAGCCTGGAACAACATCCCATATACCGCTGCTTCCAAAACACTTCGTATCAACATAATGAATTTGCAGTTTTTCAGTCGGGGCGGCCGCCTTCCTTCAGTGAATTGGGGCTTTTGCCTTCGTCTCTGGGCCAGTGAGGCAGGGCTCTTTGCACAACATGGCGTGCACTTCACGAAACTATCGTTGTGCTGATCAACCCCAAAAGCCCTGAGCCCCGGTCCGAGCAGCTGAAAACGCCGTCCACCCGAAAGAGCTGGAAAGGGACGGCACAGTTTCTTGGAGTTGAATGTTGCCACTCCGAAGTCCTTCGGCTACAGCATGAAGTAGCAAGCAACGAGACGTCCCCACGACTTTACAGAACCTGGGGGATGTCTGGGGTGGACAGGTGGACTTGCTTCGAGGCCTCGATGAGGAGCATTGGGTGAGCTACTCAGGGCCGAAGTGTGCGGCTTGTTTCCAGTATAATACAAGCTTACATAATCATCTGAATCACTGCAGACCTATTGCTTTCCGGTATATTTCAACCCTACAGACCGAAACCCCCCAAACCCTGCAGACAGAGTCTGGCTGGCTGAACCCGGAAAAGACGTAAATCCCTGAAAAACCTGGCACCCTGAGGCCTGGGTCTGTGGCTTAGCGATCGAGGCTGCGGAGACCAAGGATGAGCTGATGGAGCAACTCGGCAGGACTTACCTTTGGTTAGTAGGGTTGATGGACAAAATCCTGCATGACCTAATATACCTAAACTATGGGATGTATGGTACTATACTATACTTGGGTCATGCAGGATTTTGTCCATCAACCGTAAGGAATGGAAGAATGGTAGTAATAGTAGTTATAAGTGTACCCCATTCCTCCATTCCCTACTAACCAAAGGTAAGAGGAGCTGTTAGTACAGAGCTCGGACTGTCTGTTCTTTACCAGCCCTGGCCCTTATAGTTTAGGAGTTCTGGTAGCATCGGCTACGGAGCAGCCGCAACCCAAAGGAAAGTCTTGGCAGACACTTCTTCAGCATTCTATCTAGGCGGAGTAAGACAATGGCTTCATGTCGTACACATCTGGACAGATTAAAAAACAGAGATGGGCATGTAAGACATGACTAAATGTCCCTATGTAGTGACCGTGAACATGTCCAAGTTAGCAAGCTAGTGCAATTCTCAAGTTATGGCACAACCAGCCCCTCGTAACATCTTCTAAGCTTCATTTGGATCTCCATCACAAGCACCGCCTAAGCAACCTCGACTGTGAAACTCTAAAGCCCCGAAGCCTGAAACCCCCAAGCCTTGCAAACGCCGGTAACATAATATGACAAGACGGCAACAAACCAAAACCCAGACAGCAGTCTAGTAACACACACGTGAAGAACCCCCGTCCGCCAGCCTCGCACCGCAGGACCACGAAGCTTGAAGCAACAACGCTAAAGCCCAAAGACCTTAGTAAATCCAAGAAAAAACAGTTCAAGCATCCTGAGACACCGTTTCAGAAGACCGTCGTATCTAAAGCCCTGAACTCCCTTTGCCTGCCAATCCTTGCACCTTGACAGTGCTGAGGCTGTGCAAGCAGCACGGGCTTGAGAAGCTTCTCGCACTGAAGCAACCAAGATCCTCGGCGTCAACAGGGCTTTCACAGGGGTTTGGGTTTTGGGGTTAGGGGTTCAGGGCTTTACTGTTGGGGTGTGTTGTGGTGGGTTTTAGGGTCTAGGGTTTTTTGGGGCTCTTGTGTGTGCTCAGAACACGGTTCTCGGAAGGCGTTGAAAAGGGCTTATTTCACTTCAGAGTTTCATGCCGTCCGTGCGGAGAAGGGCTCTCAGTTTTTCCACTTCCCCTTACCATTTGTTGGCTGTTTGTGCAAATGTGCTTGGTATAACCACTTGATTGGTAGCTGGTGGATGCTTCTTCTTGTCGTCGTCGGGAAAGAATCGCATGCCAAATCCCTACACCCTAAACGCTTGAACTAGGTGTAGACGATCAGAATTTGGGGTTTAGTGTGTCGGGAAGTCTTGCGGATCTTCTCTATTCCTGGTCTCGTCAGGTCCGGAAGGAGACACCTCCCGCACAGACGCCGAGGCCATTTCATGGTTTCGTGTTTCAGGGTTTTTAGGTTTCCGAAGGAAGTGGGGATCCCAAAGGTCTGGTTTAGGGCTTTCAGTGGTGTAGGGCGACTGCATAGAAAGGGTCCTGAACGAATTTAAGAATGTTTAGGGTTTAGTATTTATCATTCTGGAGGGCTCCCAAACACAATGAAAGGCCTTCTCCTGGAGCAGGAGATCCCGAATGCGTGGTTCAGCATTTAGCAGTGAACGGGGAGTCTGTCGCGAACTGTTTGGTTCTTCGGCTTGTCCTTGGGAGCTTGTGCCCACATTAAGATCGACTTTCAGAAGCCCGGAATGGTCGAAAGAGCATCATGCCAACTGCATGATCCGGACAGTAAGTCAGTGAGAAAGCCTTCTGAACCAGAGCTGCTTGGAGAGGGCCGATCAAGAAGCGAGTGTAAACGGCGAAGGAGCACAAGCTTGTGCCTGTGAAATGATAGTCATGATGCTCTAGAGTAGATTCCTCTCGACTCAACTACAGAAGAGAATCCTGTCCAGGTCCTGCACATGGTCTTCGCTGCGCGTGAGTGAGCCGCAGACAGCTGTGAGCTTCGTGGGCTGTTATTGTCCTCCGGCCACAAGCTGCCCAAAAGCTGCAATCGGACACAGCCTAGCACATGTCTGAAAAGGCAGAAGTGCTCCCATGTTGTAATGCATGGTCAGGTCCAACCGATGGAGAGGCTTCTTCTTGCATCGTCCATAACAACCACAAATGCCTATGGAACTATATAGCCCAGTGGATGCTTTCAAGTTTCTCGGTGGCCACCGACAGTAATGTCCTGGAAATTGGCAGGCCCTAAAAGCTTAGCCATGGAGATGTTGGGAGCATCCTGGCCAGGACCACTTGCTGCTGCCATCGCCGTACCATCCCACGGAGAGAGTGAGGCAACATGTGCTTGCGGTAGAGGAGTGGCGACTCTGGAGTTTAAGGTTTAGGCTTCCGGGCCAGGGCATTGAACTTGATAAAGCAGTTGAAACCATTGACCACTCTTCACCATGTTGCTCTCCAGTTTCGGGTGGCTTTCGCGTGGGAGGCCCAGCCGCGAGGGCTGCTGACCGTGAGACTTACTTTTCTCTTCTTATATATGTCGGTGCTCCTAAACCCTAAACCCTGAACACTAAACCCCCAACTTAAACTCCTAAACCCTGAACACTAAACCCCCAACTTAAACTCCTAAACCCTGAACACTAAACCCCCACCTTAAACTCAAAGCATGAAGATCGAAACAAATGCAGGTCTCTCCCCACCGGCTTGGCTGTCGTTATAGGCTTCGGCATGCACCTCAGCAGTTGCATCCTGTACAACCAGATCCGTGGGCGATCACAGTTCTGCCCTGGCACGGCTTCTGAACTATGCTTAAATTGCGTCAAAGATGGGACCCCGATGCCGCAATGTGATTGAAAGAGCTAGGCCATACAACCCTTTATTTCACTGATTGCCTTCATTTTGATGTTCGGCCTAACAACAATATATTAACAATCGGTTGCTTGATGTCCTCCGGCCCAGGTATGCGTGTGTTTGATTGAGTGTGCAAGGTCTTTTCGCCGGGCTTGTTGGCCATACTCGCGGCTCTTGTTGGAACTTTTTTGGCCTCTGAGCCCAATGCCCTTGAACCCTAAACCCGAAACCTTGAACCCGAAAACGCTCAAGATGGCAGTCAAAATGTGTGACTCCCCGAATACAGCAAAACAACACCGGACTGAGGTTTGAGCGCATTGAAATGCTGCGGTGAAGATGCCTACAAAGACAGCGAGGAGGGACCTAAGACACTCCCGTCTTGCTCCACAGCCATCGCATGTCAGTAAGACTCACTTTGTATGTTTCCGATTGTCATGGCCAGCTGAAGGCCATGCTGCAGGAAGTGCCCGAAACCCCAAACCTACACCAACAAAACCCTAAAGTGCCTTAAGCCTTGAAGCCCTGAAACCCCAAACCCTTCACCAAAAACCCCAAACAGATGGTGAAGCGCCTGGCGATGCTCCACAGCAAGCACGTGGCCCCAGAAGAGCTCGCGCTGGAAGCTACTCGGCTCCCAGAAATGGAGGGGACGCAGACGCAAACTGCTAGCCTTTCACATGGGTTTATAGTGTTTAGAGGGGTTTTATATGGTCCAGAATGGCTGTGAGGGTTTCATAAGGATGCGATTGCAACACACTAAAGAGACAAGCATACCGCATTTTGCATCTATCCACAGATTTTTCAGCTGAGGTGAATCTGCCAGGTTCCCATTGCACTAAGTCCTGTGATCCATTGTGCCTTCAGAGGGGTCAGAGGGCTTGGTCATGTGCTGTTCCATCCCTCCTGAACCCGAAAGCCAGCAATGCCCCAGTGTGGACACAAGAGAATAGGATCCTCGTTGCGAGGACTCCCCCAACTAGACCCCTAAGACGAAGAATCGCCCGGACGTCCCAAGGCCCCACAGCAGACATCCTGAACGCTCGATTACGAGGGCCTGAACCAACAGTTCTATTATTCTTTAGAGTTCACTCATACATTTACAGTATAAAGCACCCCAAGACTCTAGTCTGCTTTCGAGGCATGTGAGTTGGTTGCTTCCATGCGGAAGAATCTTCACCAGTGGCCAGAGGATCAGGAGAGCTTCCGAATTTGTTAGATTTGATTTCTGACGGACTGCACGCTGAAACCTGAACCTACAAGTACAAGCGTTCATACATCCACTGCACCTGCTGTACCGTGACAAGCAACAAAACACTTCTGGGTATAATCTGGCGTGTGCGTGCCTTTGAGAGCATATTGAATGCATTGACCGCCGTGAACTTGAAACCCCCAAGCCTTGCACCTCAAACCCTAAACCCAAACCTCCAGTTTGTTTATCACCCTAAAGCTATCTCAATCTTAAGCTCGCCCGCAAGCCCCTGTCACAAATCTGGCAAACCCCACATCTCCTAAACCCTGAAGCCAGAGACCCGACATCCTGCACCCTGGCAGCCACAATGTAAAGCCCACGGCCCCAGCCCCAAGCACTCAAACCCCGGGTGTTAAGTACGGAGTACGGACCCCATTCAGGACGATCTTTTCCTGTGCAACTTCACCCGGATCTTGGTCGAACTGGCCAGATGCTAAGCTTGTTGTACGAGCTCGCGTGATTGTACTTTCCGAATAGTCGTACAGGTTCCAAGAGCTTCGTTGGCGGCGTGCCTTAAGAGAGAAGCAACCGGTTTTCCTAACGGGAAGCAAGATTCAAGATAGCAAGAGCATTGCTGACGACGATGACGATAACGATGCTGATGGTGACGACGATGATGATGATGTTGATGGTGGTGATGGCGGTGATGATCATCATCATAATCATGATGGTGATGGTGATGAAGATATTGACACTGACAATGACAATGAGGCTGATGATTGCATGTATTTTGCATGTAGTTGTCGTGAAATCCATAATGACAGTGATGACGAGGAGGAAGATGAGAATATGCTGAGCATGAGAGCGGGATCAAGGACGACGAGGGCGACGATGTTGATTACCATTTCGATGACAGTTACATTGTCGCATCACGCCCATTCCTTTCTTTGTTCCGTCAATTATAACTGGCAGACTGCCGCTATCACGTAGCACCAAGCTTGACACAACCCACACACGATTGTGCCATTGCTTTTGTTGAAGCATCTTTTCATTACGAGCTTTAGGCCTATGGTTTACGACACTATCATCCGTATAATCTCCGATAAAGGTCTGCAGGCATGCAAGCGCCAGAACCTGTTCTGAAGCATATCTTGCTTCAAGTCGCCAAGGCCGAGAATACCGACCAGTTTGCAGGCTCCGAAGCACGCGTTGAGGGGTTCAGTGCTTAAAGCTCGAGCTTCACAAGGGCCTGCGTTCCCATATTACACGCTACTATACTGTTCTTGTTTGATGACATGAGAGTATTGAAAGTCACAAGCTGACAGCACCAACTTGGGTTCTTCCGCCATGCGTTTTTGGTAATCACTGTCACGTTGTTGATTGGAGACTACGAGCCACTAGCCAGGTCAATCCGGTTTCGAACTACCAAGCCCTCCTTCAGCACGTGACCGCACTGCTGCACTCCATATTATGATAATATGTACTGCCTACACCCCTGTGCCCAAAATCCGAACTACTGTACCACCATTAACCCACAAACCATGAAACAAAAGCTCTAAACTCCAAACCCTGAAGCAATCCGTGGCTCCGGCTAGCTTCGGCACAGGCCTTTGGGAAGACGTCCGGTGCCGGAAGCAGGCCATCGCCGATTGTGCTGGGAATTGCAGCGGCCTCAAACTCTTAGAGCCTCAAAGCTACCTTGGTCTTCGCATACGCGATGCTTCAACTCGCATAGAGTGTGATGCGTGCAGAATGGAATACATGGCGGGTGTCAGGCAAAGCACTTCAACTATGGTCCACTGGGTTTGGCTTTAAACCAACTGTCAACTGCTAGGCAGACACTTCTTGGCACTCCCGGAAGCCTACAGCCATCTCATTACAATCTTTAACTGGCACTATCGAAAAACAGCGAGACCCACCCTGTTCGAATCACTGAAGCCCTTTTACTGTCCTGGTTTTTTATAAGTATGCCTCCGATGAGGTGATGAGCAGCTCATGACTCTGGCCCAGCAGACCCACTTCAGTTTGGAGGACTTGCGTTGTCATGAAACCGCAGAAGCAAGACCTCGCAGTATTTGTGTGGTTTGATGGCTGGTTGTTGCTGCGCAGTCGGCTACTCTCGGAGTGCATCGTCACTGGAATGGTAACCGGGGCAGACATGAATCGATGCTTGGATCTTGGGAGGAGATTGAGCTGTTACGGAAGCAGTTCCGCAAAATGCGGAACAGCTCGCAAGAAACGGCAACCTGGCGGCAACCTACCTGACCACGTGCAGTGAGAGCCTGCACTTCCTTGTCACGAATACATGTGGGCAGTTGTCAAAATTAGGGTCCCCTTTGGGCTACCCTAAATAATAGGTGCCGTATTATAATAAGGACCCAAAAAGGGATAATTTTGACAACCACCCATGTGCGGAGCCATGATTCATAGACCAGCCAAGCTTCCCGTCGTCGCATTTGGTAGTTGCATTGTCGTGCGGCTTGGTAATGCTGTTGCACTCTCACTGACTCTCGCTTAACATCCCTCGACCCCACACCCTGAACTTTTAAACCCTAAGTGACTACGTGGTAGTTTCAGAAGACAGGGGCGCAACATAATCAATAGGATACTCAATCCGGACCCCAACAGAAGGTAACGAGCATTCCTGAAACCCTATACACCCTAAGCCCTGAACCCTAAACCGAGTCCTTTCTATCCCTGAAGCCTTAGCGTCCTCTGGCTCAGACTGTGCTGGACCTCAAGGGTTTCAAGGACCCGGCTGCCGGCAAAATGCTCCGATCTTGCTACCTGATTAGGGTTACGGTTTAGGGTTTAGGGTTTAGGGTTTCGGGTTCTTAGGACGTTCAAACAGGGGTAGAAACAGGGGTTCGTCAGGTCCATTCCACGGGTATATACTATACGGGTTCTAGTTCCGCTTGGAAAGGGTTGCTGTGCGGGCTTTTGGGAAGTTGCAGAAAGAGCAGGAGTTTACAAGTTCCGCAGGCATCACACTATTGTCCACAAACCAGCCCTTGGACCCTGGGGAAGCACGAAGCAACATAGTATAGGGGCCTGTTAGACTACGTAGGATTACCCGATTTGGGTGGTCCATCATATAAAGTATAAACAGACGTACTACAAGGTACTAGCAGTACTCAATGCTCTCGTGTTCCACTGCCAGAAGCATGCCCAGCCCCTTCAGTTTTGAGAGGAAGTCGTCAAGGAAGCTGTCCCCGAATTTCCGCCGGAGCTTTGCGGCCGCCTCTTCCAGAGACCTGCCGCAAGGATCACGTTTAGGGTGTCGGGGTTTAGGGCCCAAAGTTTGGAAACCATTCGCTTCAACTTCAAGCAATCATGAATCGCTTTGGGTCTTGGAGCACTATCTGTCCGAGAGGTCACAGGTCTCCCCGAGCATAAAGGATTAAGGCTTGGGCTAAGGAACACCTATAAAGCGGCCCGAAACCTGAACCGAGTTTGTAGTTGTCCGCTGCAGCGTTGGGAGAACTTTGATACCCTAATCCAGTAGACCACCTGCCCCAAAGCCGAGGAAGCTTGACTGCTTCGGTGCTGGAGCCTCAGCGTAGCTCAGTTCCACCGTCGACACTCAAGTTGGTAAGGCTCTTATTTGAAGATCAGCTTTGGATCTAGAGTTGAGTGTGTAGAGTGGTTGCCGCACAACAGCTGCTAGAATTGCTGCATAAAGCGAGCGGAAAGAGTGTAAGACATGGCCCAGTGGCACTGAAGACGGAGACGGTACCATGAAAACCTCACTCAATGCCAGCATCGTTCGAGTCTTGATGTACAAAGACCGGCCTCATGGCTTGCAGAGCTTAGCCTATGATGGCTGCAATCCATGATATAGGTGATCGGCTCAAGCCTGAAAGCCTAGACTCAAAATTGTGCTCAGTGCCTCAAAGCATCTTTGAAGCCATGTCGATGCTAAGTCCGCAATGCTTCAGGTTGTAGAGGGTGAGAGATACGTCATAAGCGTACTGGTGTACAGTTTCGGGTCCCTGTCTTTCTCTTTGCAAGGACAGCGACTGTATTCTAAGATCGACCACAGAAGCATACTCTTCACACCACCGCATCTCCGAAAGCTGTAAGCCTCCAGCCCTCTCAAGTTGCGTAGCCTTCAGGTCCTAATGATGAATTCGAATTGTTATTGTAGCCATTCCAAAAACACGTTATTCTGCAATATGAAGGCCTCTGTATTACCTTGGTACTTGAGCGTAATTTTGCAGAGCTGGCACCGAAGGTTGGTCGCCTCACATTTATGGAGCTGGCCTGTGGGATGCTGCCTGACTGAAGCGTGGGTTTAGGGTATCTCCGGGCTCGGGCTGCAGGGCTGAACATGGGACGGCAGAAGCTCATGCAAAGGAGCAGTTCAAGAGTCAGGACAGAGCCGGCACTTCTGTTTGCGCGTGCGCTGGCTCGTGGAACTGCGCGTCTTCCGTGGCCACAGCCACAGCCTGGACAACACTGCCGCCAGCAGGCCAGCGGCACCTCGAGCGACAACATCGACAACCAGAGGAGCATCAACAGCTAGGGCAAGGCCGAGCCAGAATAGTACCAACAAAGCCAAGCCATTAGGAGCAGCCGCACAGCGGACACCACCAGCGAAGGCCAAGTGGATGCTGCAGCAAGGCGAAAGGGAGATCACCAAGAACAACGACAATTGGGATTGGAGCAGCCGCAGTAGGAAAGCAACAGAGAATGCCGGCGCCATATTTTGAAAAGGAACAACATCTCCTCATGGTCCCTGTAAAACTAGACAGTACTGGACTATCCCCGAACCCGAACCCCATTCTAAGTACTAACGCCCCTATCGAGGTCGGCGCTTGCTCTGGGAACCATGGATGAGAAATTGCAGGCCGCATCGGACAAACCACAGATTTGTCGGACTGGGCTCCAACCCCTCACCGGTAAGACATCAGCAGCGGTAATCCTTAAATCCTACATCATCAGCCCTAAGCCGCAGGCAGATGGGACCACTGTACCATGCCGAAGCTGTGTATATAGCTGTATGTGTGAATGGTTGGTCTTGCTGTGCAGCTGGTCTTTGAGTTCCAGACGGACACTGGCAAGGATGATCTTGCCAAGGAAGATGCATTCAGAGCAGGTGCTAATCTTGGTGGTGAGGTTGTACTTGTTCTTTTTGTGGGGTGGTGAAACCTTTGTACTGAGTGCAGTAGGATTCGACCCAGACGTTGTTGTAAGGACCCGGTCCCGGATGTCGGCTGGAATTCTTGTTGACCAAAAGGGGTTGTTCGACTCGGCGTGCTCTCATGATCTCATGCCGCGAGTCCTCTCATCCGCGAGTGAAGAAAACGAAGGGACGTTTTTGGTTTCAGATACCATCGAAGCGCAAGGTGGCGACAGTCCCGGTCCCTTGTTATGCCCGAGTACTAATTTCACCTAGACCTAGACCTTGTACCCGAAATCCCGAACCCCGTTCTGAAGACGCAGCAAGCGGGAGAGCAAGGCATGTTAGACCTATTTGCATTCAAGTTCAGCGCGTTTGTCGCCCGGCATCTGAAACTCTGCTGCTGTTGCTGTTGGTGTTCACCCCGGAAGGTGTGCTTTGATCTCTTCGATTCCGAAGGCGGGAAAGAGCCGGCTTTAGTGGTCAGCTTTGTGTTAGTTGGTATTGCCGGCCACTGGCGCTTTTGAGAGTTCGTTCGTCGTCTGTGTCCATTCATGCGACTGATATTTAGAGTCCTGCTGTTTGCGTTGCGTTTCGTGTTCTTACTAGGACTTAAAGGGCCTTGACTCTTTGAGATTGCTGCTGGCGTCCAGTGAGTTCCCAGGCCGGCGGGCTTTGACTCTCAAAGATCTCAATGATCTTTGCACCCAGGCTGTTATTGAGCGCAATTTTTCTTTTGGTATAGTATAGAGAAGTAAGGAACCTTAAGATTACAGCTCACCACAAGACTCCGCACGCAAAAAACAGCCCAGGCACGACGCTCTTCAAAGTGGCGCTATCGCATGGCTCGGTGAATCGGAAAGCTTCCACGGACGAGGCGGATTCTGTTGAGGATGTATGGATAATCTCGTAATATGTAGAGTCTGTTCAAAAATAGAGAGCGAGCGAGAGAGAAAGAGACGGAGTACAGACTATATCATGTACAGAACATAGCACATCATACAAAATAGATATTCGATTTAATTAGCGTTTCAACTTTGTACACGCACACACGCACGCGCACACACACACACACACACATACACACACCATGCACTAGGCAAGATTTTTGATCAGACGACAAGTATCGTACGAGGCTGAATTTTGGATGAGTCTTCTTCCCCATTTGCACGTCACAAAATTCCTGGGTGGGCTCAGTGAGCTCTATATGCTGCCAAGGAAGAAAAGACTGTAGTGAGTCGGCTTGTTGATTCGGCTCTTGTGGCTCTCATGATGCTGAAAACATTGTTTGCTCTAGACTCATGAGCCTGAAGATGCGAAAATCCTAGAAATCCTCCGCTCTCGCAGTGGAGGTCATGGCAAAGCAATCTGGCGCCTTGAGCCAAAGGCGTGGGGAAAATGATGCTTTCGGAGCTGCGGATCGGCTATGGAAGGCTTCTCGTAGTGTACAGCCCTAGCCTCATGCAGAATACGGGTTTAGGGTCACGTGTTTTTTGAGGCTTCGGTATGGCCCTATATGCCTCAAATCCCTAAAAACCGCTGGAACCATTCAAGCCCTCAAGCTCTGTAAGACCCTTATCTCTGCAATGCGCCTAGACTTATATCCAAACACCGCAATCCGCAATCCAAAGACTTAAGAAGATAGGGTCTGCAATTTCCCAATCATGTTCGGGTAGAGTCCATGTTCTAGATACTTATATGTCAGCATAAACAAAATCATGTGCATATATGTATATGTACATACATATGTGTATGTATAGATCTATATATATATATATATATGTACATATATATATATAGATAGGTGCGTGTGTGTGTACATACATATATGCCCATGCATATATATATATATGTATATATATATATATGTACATATATATATATATATATACACTATGTAGAATGTAGAACTATACAGTTATACCCAGCCACACTTTCACTTGTCTTCCCTGGGCAGAAGCTCCGAGACCGACCTGCCCTTCCCCATGACGCCGCGCCTCGGACGACCTTTCACCTCCGGGCCTGGGATGGCCCGGGCTCAGGGCTTTATGGGGGTTTAGGGTTTAGGGTTTAGGGTTTAGGGTTGAGGGTTGTAAGGTTTTGGGGCTCAGGTTTTAGTGCGGCTTCAGGTGTGGGGTTTGGAAGTGAGGTTGACTGAGGTTGAGGTGGAGGTGGAGGGCGACAGCGGGCTTGCGACAACTTCTTTTGCTGCTTTGAAATGAGGTTAAGAACTAGACAGTCAGTGCGGTCATCACAACAGTAGTGACCACAAGAGGAACAGCAATAGCAAGACCCTAAACCCGAAATCCTGAACCCTAAGCCTTGAACCTCAAGCCTTAAACCACAGCCGTCAGCCTTGAGCTATAAAGAAAGCCTTGTCGCAACAGCTGCACAAGAGCAGAGCCTGCCGAGCCTGAACCCAGGCCCATGAGACCGAGCTCGGTCATCGTTGTGGGGCGTGAGAAGGTCAGGGCCAGCGCTGGGACCTTGGAGGTCCCGCTTGTTTAGTGGTTACGGGCTTATGTTTTCCAGGTCCTCCTGCAGGGAATCCTGCACTTTCGGGGCCGTTGAGGGTTCAGTAGGGCGAGGATTTTGGTCCAGACGAAGAGCAGGTTCAGCTGGGCGAGAGGATGTGTGAGTGTGGGGAAGTGCTAGACTTCTTGGTGGTTTGCTTCAGTTTCTCGGAGTTGGTGGTTGCTGCATGATGATGTCGCTGCTGATGATGGTTATGGTGATACCGTAGCGACGAGTGGTGGTGACCACGGAGATATTGAGGAGGACGGTGATGTTTTGCTGCATGGTGAAACTATGGTAATTAGGGATATACACGACAGTGATGGTGATAATTTGGATGGTGAAACAACGATTGTGAAAGTGGTCATCGTGGAGTTTGCCATTCATTTCGACATACAGTTCTCGATGCTTTTCATACTAGACTTGCTTGTTTTTGCCTATAGGTGTTCAGGGAAGAGCCTTCTACCGCGGTTCTATGGAAGTAAGAAGGTATCTACGCCCTAAAGGCCCTAAACCTTCGACCCTGAAGACCCAAGCCCTATGTTTGCCTAAGCCTTAAACCTTAAGCCTGCCTGCAGTTACATCTCGGTCTAAACGGAACTTAACCCAGGCTCCCACCGAAATCACGAAGTCCATCACGATGGATGACCAGGACCGCATCAGCTGTGCCAATGCCGAAAATCCGTGCGACTCTAAGGATTTTCAGGGAGGACCGCGACATCATTTCCATTTTCCTTCAAAGTTGCAGTCGGGTGTGAAGTACTCCCGCTCTGTCCCAGCGTTGTAAGGCAGTGCTCACAGTGCATAAACGTTGACATGTTCATGCTTTGCGGCATGCTGTGGAGATTTCTTCAGTCGTTCACCGCTGAAATGGCGGAAGATTGCAGGAGCTCCCATCACGGTCGATGCTTCTGAGGCTGCTCGCTGCAGCAAAGGCGCCTATAATGAGCTTCAAGACTTGGCACATGCTCTGGCAACTACTGGTCTACAACATGACACGGGTGCTGCTACATTCAGGTGCACACCCCTGGCGGGCAGAGGCTTGTAGCCTACGAGGACTGGCGTTGGATGTGGGCTTCGAAACCCAATCTTCCCGTCATTGAAACCCTTTGGCCATGACTACTACCCAACACCGAATCTGAGACGGTGGCCAGTCTCGAACCACCTGGAGTTCATCATTCGAGCTCCCTTGCAGTCGGGATCGACGTTGCTACACCAGAATTCTGAACTAACGCATACGAGGTATAGACCGAACGAGAGCAAGAACTCATGGGCCGCTGATTTGGCGCAGGACTTCTGCAGTGTGGCACGCATGGAGCCAGCGCTGCTTTGCCTTTTCTCCTGGTAGCTTGGTCCTGCATCAGCCTGATCTGCCTCTGCACGTTTAAAGTAGAGCCTAGATCCTAAGCAGGCATTCGGCTTGCTTTCCGTCGAAGTATTTCTGCCGTGCCAAAAGAACGATTGCTTTGGTCAAACTAGGCGGCAGAAATCCAAGCCGCAAACCCAACCCTTTACGTACCAACAAATGAACAAGATGGTGAACTTCACTGCAAACCCTCAAAACAGCCAGTATATAAATATAAAGAAATAAATAAATAAATATATATATATATATCAATATTAGCATGGAAAGGATTGCTGTGCGCTGTATCCGAAGCACCAAATCGCGAACCCGATGGTTTCAATCATAATGAAGCTTCATAATATTAAAGCCTCTACATTTGCTCTTGGGATCAGCCCTTCGGTGTCCCAGGTGCCTACCAAGACCGCCCGAGCCACTTGCAACGCACTTCGGGAGCTTCCGAGCTCAGGTTGTAGACCGTAGGGTTTGATTGGGAATTTAGGTTTCGGATGTTCGATGTAGGATTTGGGATTGCAGGTTTCCAGGTTTGGGGTCTTTCGAAGGTTTCTGTTGGGAGTTCGGGGCTCAGGAGTGTTTTTTGAGGTGTCTGAAAGGAGTGCCTAAGGATTCTGTTGGGGGCTCCATGATAAGAGGCTACTAAGGGATATAGGGTTTGAACTTTGGCATTCATGATTTTGGAGATTTGAGGCCTTAGGGTATGGAGCTTGGCCGGGACGGGGAATTTGCAACTGGAGCAAGATTCATTCATGTCCTGCGTTGGCCCCGAGATGATCCTTTTTCATGTGTGGCCCTCCCTGGAAACCCCCAAAGCCCGTCATTGCGGAATACACGTACCCTCAAGCTTCTTCTGGTCTTTTGTGCGTAGGCTCTTTCTGTTCCTTGGCAGGCGGATGCCCGTCTTTATGTTCGAGAGTACAACGCTTGGCTTGAGACAGCCGGGCCTTTGCGCGAGGGTTCGCCGCACGTGCGACCGGATTCGCTGCTGGTTTCGACGACGAAGCTGATGTTGAAAAAAAGAGTGTCCCTGAGCCCTAAACCCTAGACCCTAAACCCTAAACCCTAAACCCTAAACCCTAAACCCTGAACCTGAAGGCTCAATTTGTAGCTGCACGTGATAACTTCCACTTACTAGCTGCCACATCGGCGCCAAATCCCTGCACCCGCCTCCTGGTCGCCCCCATGACCCCTCCACCCCGAAATCTCTCACTCCCAAAGTCCGAGCTTTAGTTACATTGGTGGGTTTAGGGTTTAGGGTTTAGGGTTTAGGGTTGACATTGTCAAGCGATGAAGGCCAAATTGCCTTAAATCATCGCCCCTTCTGCAACTAGGCACATTCGGTGTTGAAGTTGTGCGCCTTCAGGAAACTTGTTCGTCTTGCAATGCCTCATGGGAGTTTTGTTCCTAACCTCTGAACCCCAAACCCCCGAGACCCTGCAAACCCCTACCCTCTGTAAGCCCAAGGCCCTAAACTTTAAGTCCCAAAGCTCTAAACTGAACCCGAAGCCCAAAACCCTATTCATAATAGTAAATCCTGCAACTCGAGACCTTATCGGCCCCCGGGGAACAAACGGCACACCGCGTTTGTGTCGCCGTCCTCGCGGCTCAGAATCCTCTGGGACTTCCGATAGACAGTTTGCAGCTGAAAGTCGAGCAGAGTGTATGCCGCCCATTACAGCCACCCGTACCGTTCAATAGCAATCCGTCTTGAAAGCAATTCCGTCAAGGTGAGTAGAAAGAAGAGGGTTCGTCGATTGGCCATCTGATCCACCGATTTGTCCTGTCTCGGTACCGCCATTAAATCATCTGGCAGGCCCGGGCTTGGTTGCTGCAACTCTTGGAGCCTAGCCCCTGTAAGCCAGAAAGTCTTAGAAAAATTTGCAATGAGCCCCGAGAAAGCTTAGTCACCTAATCAACCTTGAAGGATAACGCCGAATAAACCCTCAGAACCTCGAGCAGTCCTATAGGTATCAGCCCTCAACAAGCCTCGGGCTCCTTTGGGAATGAAAACCCAGGCCCAGGCAGAGCGGAGGGAGGGCAGGGCAGGTGATTCAGGAGGCCAGAAGAGCTCCCTGATTTTGATGAAGGGGGGGGGGTTGAGATTTAGGGTATAGGCTTTAGGATCACCGCCGGGCTGACACAGCGTGCGCAAGACTACTCGAAGTGGTGGTTGAGGTTTCTGACATACCTCTGCATGGCGTTGGCCATTGCGTGGTCCTCGGGGCGAGGCACTCTGAGGAAGTGCACTTCCAAAACCAGACCCTCAACCCAAAAATCCCCATATGCGAACGCAGCAAGACGACTACAAAAAGAGCAGCCCAAAGCCCAGCGGTCGAGTCCGAAGACTCGAGCCTGCTACGCATGAGGCTTTGAGCTTTGGTAGTTTATGAAGACTTCACAGGATTTCTAGGTTCTACGCTGGGGCAAGGGATGCTTTATGGGGTGTAAGGTATATATGTTTAAGGGTAGGGCTTTCAGGGTTTAGGGTTTAGGGTAGACTCCGGGTAGACGTGCGATTCGGGTTCCAATGCGACCCCGGCGCCCGTTAGCCGGATGACCTTGGTAGTTCCCGTGCGCAGGTCCTGGCAAAGCAGAGAATCACGTCGAGCAGAAGCGCTTTCCCCCAGCGCCGCAGTGGACTCGAAGCCAGGAGCCTCTGAGGGCTTTGGGGAGTTTTTTAAAGGGTTCTATAAGGGCTACTATAAGGGCTTAGGGTTTAGGGATTAGGACGCTAAGGCTTCAATTGAAAACAGTGGTAAGTAACTAGTCGATGGATGTCAAAGAGAGGGTGCCCGATCCCAATTCCAAATACGTCTTCGCATACACCTTCATGTGTCTTAGCAGCGGCATGAGTTAGCACGACAACCAGTGGTCTTTCGTGATGACAGCTCTGTTGCGCTTCAGGTGTGTTTCTGTTTCCGGAGTCCAGGGGAGACTGCAACAGCCCGGCCCGAGGCAGAATGTGTTCGTGCAAGCCGAGAGATAGCGTAAGATGCATAGACACACCAAGCCAGAGCTTGGTCCCTAGCTTCTCTCTAGGACTCTAGGGTTTAGGGTTTAGGGCTTGTGGTCCCTCTACACATCCGTACGCTGCAGAAGCCGCAACGAACGATGCAGGATCTAAACCGCTGCCCGATGGCCAAAGCCTGCCCGGCTTGTTGTTGTCGTGTGCTCGAGCGTTCTGCTGGGTAGCCTGTGATGCGGGATGTGTTGAGGTTCATAGATGTCGGATCGAAGTTACTGGGCTGTTTGGGGTTTGTCTGTAGTGAGCCTTGCGCCAGGCGGGCGGCGCAGAAACCATCCCAGATGGAACATACGCCCGAGTGGGCATGTTCTCAGCAAGATTCGATCGAAGTCCCACAGAGACATTATTTCGAGGAGTGTACCAAATTCTAAAGCAGAAGAATTATCCGGTGCTGATGGTTGATGCAGCCGCGGGCAAGAATTTTGGTGAAATGACATCAGCATACCTCGGCAAGCTCTTAGGCGCAAAGGGTGTCTTGCTCGCGGTGTGCACCTCGCACTATGCCGAGCAAACAGACTCCAAGTACTCCTCATACTACGAGCTGAAAGTTGCCCATGAGAACGATCTCGATATCCTTCCGCTGCGAGTCTGTGACGACCCGTGGCCCCCGAAGCCCCCCTCCGGCCCAGAGCACAAGCACGACAAACTGGGAGCTGGCGCGGGACTCCTCCAGCTGGCGATCGGGCAAGCCACGGTTTGGGTGGATTGTAGAGGCAAAGATGAGAACTTCATCGCTGCTCGGATTGCCGAGACGCTCCTTCCCGGCGGCTGTCGCCCTTCAGGGCATGGAGAGGCAGGGCACGAGACAGCTGCAAGTTGAAGCCGGGTTTGTAGTTCAAGGCTCCAGGTTCTGCGGTTCTGCATCACAAAAGTTACACGAGCTCAATAGCTTCGAACCGGGAGAGTGAGTATTGGCATCGGAACGAGCTGTGAAAGGAGAGCAGGTCTGCTCTTCCCGCCTTTCCTTAACTCTTCCGAGTCCCATAAACCGAAGTTTCTTCGGAGGGCGTCAGCTCTGGCACTTTAAACGCCGCGGGGTACAGCCAGCAAGATACCAAGGCTGGACCCGGGAGGGACCCAAAGTCTCGCTGTTTCTTGCTTGTGGTGTCTTGGCCAGCTCTAACCGCACTGGCTGGGTGTGTAGTGGTTAAAGTCAAGAGTCAGTGGATTTTTTCCATCATGAACGCAAAACTAGTACGATTCTTGTGCCTTGTTTGTGCCGGAAGTGCTGAATTCTTAACAACTCTCTCGGAAGTTGGAAAGCCGACTTACACAGGTTGTGAGCAAAATTGTGTCCAGCCCGACTTGTAATTATATACTGCCTGCAAGATGCTAGACAAGGAGGGAGCAGCTACAGCAGCGAGTGTGTACTGACAAATCACTGTAACAATGTATACACCCATGGACGGAGAATTTCGATTGTCGGTTCGGCCCGCAGTGTTGAATCCTTCGGAAGTTGGAAAACCGAAGTGAAGTCCTCAGGATAATAGTTCGCCTCAGGTCTGCTCTGCCCGCCTTTTCCTAACTCTTCTAACCATTCTCGCCCTAAATAAAGTATAAGCCCAAAACCCTAGAGCCTGTTTTTTGGGAGGGCGTCAGCTCTGGCGCTTCAAAGACCGCAGGGTACAGCCAGCAAGATACCAAGGCTGGACCCGGGAGGGACCGAAAGTCTCGCTGTTGCTTGCCTGCGTTGTCTTGGCCAGCTCTAACCGCGCTGGCTGGGTGCGTACTGGTTAAAGTCAAGACTCAGTGGGTTCATTCATCATGAAAGCAAAACTAGTACGTTTCTTGTTTCTTGTTGTTGGCGGAAGTGCTTAATTCTTGACAGCTCTCTCGGAAGTTGGAAAGCCGACTTACACAGGTTGTCAAAAAAGCTGTCCCCAGCCCGACTTGTCCCTCAACTTCAAGAGTTCACAGCACCCCCGTGGGGGCAAATGCTTTGACGGCCGAAGCTCCTAAGCTCCGCCGGAAT